AATGAAGATAGGTGTAGGGAGCAGGAGGCCAGATACAAGGTATCATCTGGGAGAGGAAATTCTTCAGGAGTCAGAGAAGGAAAAAGACTTGGGGGTTGATATCACGCCAGACCTGTCTCCTGCAGCACATATCAAGCGGATAACATCAGCGGCATATGCCAGGCTGGCCAACATACGAACGGCATTCAGAAACTTGTGTAAAGAATCATTCAGAACTTTGTATACCACATATGTCAGGCCAATCCTGGAGTATGCAGCCCCAGCATGGAGTCCATATCTAGTCAAGGAAAAGACTAAACTGGAAAAGGTTCAAAGGTTTGCCACCAGACTAGTACTCGAGCTGAGAGGTATGAGCTACGAGGAGAGACTACGGGAATTAAACCTCACTTCGCTGGAAGACAGAAGAGTTAGGGGGACATGATCACCACATTCAAGATTCTGAAGGGGATTGATAGGGTAGATAAAGACAGTCTATTTAACACAAGGGGAACACGCACAAGGGGACACAGGTGGAAACTGAGTGCCCAAATGAGCCACAGAGATATTAGAAAGAACTTTTTTAGTGTCAGAGTGGTTGACAAATGGAATGCATTAGGGGGTGATGTGGTGGAGGCTGACTCCATACACAGTTTCAAGTGTAGATATGACAGAGCCCGATAGGCTCAGGAATCTGTACACCTGTTGATTGACGGTTGAGAGGCGGGACCAAAGAGCCAGAGCTCAACCCCCGCAAACACAACTAGGTGAGTACACACACACACACACACACACACACACACCAGTGAGGCCACACCAATTGCAGGTGCTGCATCAGACGTGGTAGTTAATACCAATATAACCGTGTCCGCTGCAGGTCTACACATGGCCCCCCCCGTATATGGCCCTACCCCACCCCACCTCTACATAGTTCAGGCACTCGCGTCTACATAGCCCTGACTCTCCCTACATAGCCCTGACCCTCTCTACAGAGCCCTGACCATCCCTACGTAGTCCTGACCCTCCCTACATAGCCCTGACCATCCCTACATAGTCCTGATCCTCCCTACATAACCCTGACCCCTCCCTACATAGTCCTGGCCCTCCCTACATAGCCCTGACCCTCTCTACAGAGCCCTGACCATCCCTACGTAGTCCTGACCCTCCCTACATAGCCCAGACCCTCCCTACATAGCCCTGGCCCCTCCCTACATAACCCAGACCCTCCCTACATAGTCCTGGCCCTCCCTACAAAGCCCTGACCCCTCCCTAAATGGCCCAGCCCCCTCCCTACATTGCCCTGCCTTCCCCACATAGCCCTGACCCCCTTCCTACATAGCCCTCGCCTTCCCTTCATAGCTGTGGCCCTCTCCGCATTTGTTTTCCTCCCCCCACCTCTCTCCTTGCCTCTCCCTTTCCCTTAACGTTTTGTACTAATAAGTTTGCCGAGAGCGCTGGTAAACCCGTAAACCAAACTTGACCATACCTAGGCACATATATGTACTATATTGGGCCTAAAATATAAGGTATAAATTAAAGAACATGCTCTGAGTATAGGACAAGCAATCATATAATATGTTTAGACCGTGAGGCCATTTTTTATCGGCCACGCCATCGTGTTTATCTAAGTCTGCCTTTAACTCCGTGTTCTGTTATTGTGGTGAGAGATGGAGTCGTCGTCGTCGCTGCTACAGTGTTAAAAGGCGGCCACCTGATGCCTGGACCTCAGTGTGTCAGGAACTGTGACGGGGGAGAGTACATGCTTCTATGCTCTCATGTTCGTCATAGGTTTACCGATATATATATATATATATATATATATATATATATATATATATATATATATATATATATATATATATATATATATATATATATATATATATATATACAAATATATTGAAGATTATTCCATTGAAAATAACTTAATTCGGAATTTTTGATATGCCTAGTATTAGTGTAAGAATAATAATATTTAATGTATAGATTCCAGACAGTACAATCTGCATTAACTATTCCAGATTCATAGTTAATGTTGTTATAGATTCATAGTTGTTATAGATTCAGCTACTCGGAACAAGTTCCAAGTAGCACAGGCTATGGTGAGCCCGTAACTTACCTGGCACAGGAGCGGGGCAAGAAGCATGGTTGGTAGTTCTTTGTGGGGCCCCATACTCATCCTGTGAGCGGAAGTTTATTGTGCACCCCATACTCATCCTGTGAACGGTAGTTTATTGTGCACCCTATACTCATCCTGTGAACGGTAGTTTATTGTGCACCCCATACTCATCCTGTGAGCGGTAGTTTATTGTGCACCCCATACTCATCCTGTGAGCGGTAGTTTATTGTGCACCCCATACTCATCCTGTGAACGGTAGTTCATTGTGCACTCCATACTCATCCTGTGAGTGGTAGTTTATTGTGCACCCCATACTCATCCTGTGAGCGGTAGTTTATTGTGCACCCCATACTCATCCTGTGAGCGGTAAGTTTATTGTGCACCCCATACTCATCCTGTGAGCGGTAGTTTATTGTGCACCCCATACTCATCCTGTGAGCGGTAGCTTATTGTGCACCCCATACTCATCCTGTGAGCGGTAGCTTATTGTGCACCCCATACTCATCCTGTGAACGGTTGCACAAAGGTAATACAGAGAGAAAAAAAGTCTTAATCAGACCTCAGAGGGGAATGTTTGACACCAACTTTTTACAATATATTTACACGTTATAATTAAGGATAACGATAACTTGTACTAACCCACCTGCGCTGCAACTGTTATGAATTACAATATATTAATGTACAATGGAGGTAAATGTCTTTTGGGTTTTTAAAACCAAAAAAACCGTATATATATTGGCCAAAAAATTCCCAATATATATATATATATATATATATATATATATATATATATATATATATATATATATATATATATATATATATATATTATATATATATATTATATATATATATATATATATATATATATATATATATATATATATATATATATATATATATATATATATATATATATATATATATATATATATATACCTCCGAGGCGTTATTTCCGTGCGACTTGGGTTAGGCTGTATACCTCTCTTGGGAGTTTACATCCCCCGCTGATGTGATCAAGTGTAAACTGTATATTGCGTGAGCAGGTTTACTCTCGGGGCCATGTAATGCTGAGCGTGACGAATTCAAAAAATCAGGAGACGAATCAGAAATGTCCCGAATACTTTATACAATGTAACACCTTTTTTTTTACAAATACCTCAGATTTTCTAATTGTACGTAGTGCTCTCTCTCTCTCTCTCTCTCTCTCTCTCTCTCTCTCTCTCTCTCTCTCTCTCTCTCTCCTCTCTCTCTCTCTC